AATTATAGTCCTTGTCCTACCCGTTCGGCTAATGACCCTCCACCAGTCAAGGAAGCGGTGGGTGAGAGTGGACACCCATTAAGCTGCAATTTTATAGGCAACAACCTTATACCCCCCCTCCCCTTATAGACCGGCTTCGTGAATGATGTCTTCTAACGGTAACACTGACTTGCTCTTATATATATATATATATATATATATATATATATATATATATATAATTAACTTATAATACTATAAAGTATAAGGGTTGAATTTTAACTTTTAAAACTCTAGGGTTTGGAATTAAAGTGTGTATGAGACTTTACAAATTCCAAAACTTGAGGGCAAGTTTTGAACTATTCAAAAACTTTTGGATTTTCATAACTTATGAGTTTAATTAAGGTTTTAAAACCTTTAATGAAGAGACTCTTGAACATCCATAACTTCAGGACAAGTTATGGAGTTCATAAAACAAAAAGACTCTTCAATTTTGTAACCTATGCATTTTAATGGATCTTTAAAAGAAATTACTTTTGGTAATCCATAACTTGAGGACAAATTATGGACTCCATTAAAAACACATTTAGATCAAGAATTAACTAATAAACAATTTTGCAAATAATTCTTATGATCTACCAACACTCATAAGTGCATGAACAATCATATCAACAATTTCAAGAATTACATAAACACACATAAAACTTGAAATTTTGATAACAACCTTGAAATTGGTTTACCATAATCATTACCACATCAAAAATAGGTTTATAAGTTCAAAAACAGCTTAGGGTAATGATTCTAGTCCAGTTTCAGCCAAAAACATCAAAAATCTGCAAACTGGAAGACCAACTCGTCGAGTTCTCTAAGGAACTCGTCGAGTTCATGCTTTAACTCATGAACTCGTCGAGTTTTTGGCCAGAACTCGTCGAGTTTTCAATCTGGGCAGATTCTTGGTTTTTGAAAAATAAGTTGCATCAAGTATAAATGAAAACAAGCCTAGGCTCTGATACCACTAAAGGGTTTTGAGCATTCTAACACTCCTATGGTGTACATGCAACCCTATAAACCTTGGGTCTATGTTTTCTCTATTATACATGCAAATAGTCAATATTCCAAGGTTTCATCCTAACTAGCATAATGTGAAGCAACTATACTACAAAAGCCTAGTTAGATAACATACCTTTTGATGGAGCTTGCAGTCTTGATCTTTAAGAGCTTATCCCCAATAGTGTGGAAGCCTCAAGTGGAATAACAAATCACCAAAAACACCTTGGAAAAGTTGAGAGAATAGTAAGCACACTAGAAATTGGCCCACTCTTTTTTACACACACACTAGTGCCATTTCATGTGCCAAAGACGTCTTTATATAGTCTCTTTATATAGTCTGGGGGATTAAGGTTACATTCATGTAAACCCTAATACCCATGACCTTTCATTTCCATAGGATCCATGGGTTAAACACTCCATGGACTATCCATGAAAGCTTAGCCTAACCTAAATGAACTTGGCTCATTCCATATATATATATATATATATATATATATATATATATATATATATATATATATATATATATATATATATATATATATAAGAGTCCATATTTAATTAGTTCCTTTTTTTCTCACTAAATTAATTCTAAATTAATTCTTGATCAATACTAAATAAATAATATCATTCCATATTAATATATTAGAACTTATAATATATTAATATAAAATCATAAACATACTATTCTCAAAAGACTATCCATATAAAATGTTCCGGTGAAGTGCAACCCAAATGGACCATGCCAAGTCGGGTCGAATACATACCAATTATAGTTATGGACTTAGACACTAATCCAACAAAGAATGCAACTCAACACTAGATGCAACAACATCATAAACTTGGAAATACTCCAAAACATAAAGCTCGCCAAATATACAACCTTCTCCAATCACCTTTGAGACAGTGGGTCATGTACACAACATAGTGAATCAGAAAAGAAGAACCAATAACTAGATTTACACAACCAACTTATTGAAGAAAGATTAAAAGCAAGTGTTAGAATATAATAGACATCAGTGAGTGATATATGAGGGGTAACAGCAAAACCAATACCCTCTACTAGCATAGATGTAACACCAGAATGCATAACATAAATAGGAGAACCATGTGATAACAAAACAAAGCATGAAAAATATGGTGATATATAATGACATGCACCAAAATCTAATATCCACAAGGATGAAGGAATAACTAAACTACTGAATGAAGACAAAAATGAGTCAGACATAAAAGTTAACATAACAACACGAATAGAGGCAAGGAACTGTCTAAAATGCTAAAAAAAACTTATGGATCCACTTTTGATGGTGGTGTGATTTTCGTACCAACCTATATAGAATGTGCAACAACAATAATGAACTGTGGATATGAAACAAGAGAGCTGAGAGGCGTGGCTGAAACTGATCAGGAGGCCGATTTTTTTGTAGAGGTTGAAACTGTCTAGAAGGCCTATTTTGTTGTTGTTGATTTCCTTTGCTAAGCAATCACTGGAAACTAGGACTTCTAATGATTTTTCTTCTTATAGAAGGCACACTCATCAAATGATACTTTCGGCCATGTCTTATTTGAAGCTCGAGTTTGTTATGAAATATCAAAAACAACTGGAGAGGTGATTATTTAAGATCTTTAATCATATTGAGATTTAATACAATTTTCTTCAACAATCAACTCATGAATAATGAAATCAACTGTGTGAAGAAGCATGTGGTGAATGATTATTCCATATAAGCCTTCAAAATCTAATTGTAATGTCATCAAAAACGGAACCAATCATTGCTCTTCCTTTCTTGCAATGTAAGGCTTGAAGGCCTTTAGGTCATCAAATTTTATTAGAGGTATTTGATCCCACAAATCAGACACAGAAGCATAAAAATCCTGAACACTTAGATTGTTCTGTTGAAGGGCTCGAATATCAGTTTTTAATTAATATGTTTTGAAATGTTAGACTAAATGTAATCCCAAACTTCTGTTGATGTGTCATACTTTCCTAACTTGGTTCCAATTAATTGAAATACAAAATTATTAATCTAAGTGATAATGTTGGAATTCAGTCTCTCACGATTCAAATAAGGTTGCATAATTTTCATCCTTTTCATCTATTGGTTTTCCCTTTGCACCTATAACCTTCCCCACCCACATATTCTTGCCCCATAAAAAATTCTTCGTAACATAAATACCATAAGCATAGTTCTTGCCATCAATTTGAGTTTAATGGACTAAAGTAAAGAGAATCATATATTGGAGCCATATTGCCAATAACAGTCAAACAAATAATCCAAAACCAACCACATATAAAAAATTTGAAATTAACGACAGCAGATAAACATAACAACAACAAGAATCAAAACCCTCGAAATCGAACAAATCAAACGAAACAGAATACAAAAATGAACCAAAAAAAATTCATATTCAACAAATAAAAAAGAAATCATTTTAAAAAACCGATGAACAATACTTAGTCGATGAATAATACCGAGCCGATGAACAGTGTCAAGTTAATGAATATTGTCAATTTTTTCCTTCTAGATTTTAATGAACAAAACAAAAACCGATCTATAAAAATAATTTGGATTAGACGGAGCTCTGATACCATGTAAACTAATAACAATCTAAAGAGAAAACGAGTAGGGTTTCATTAGTGAAAAAAAACTATATTTACAAAGAAGAGAAAATACAATTATAAATAGAAAAATTATCTAAGCTTATCCTAGCTAAAAGACTAAGCAAAAGACCAAATTAAATAACACCAATAATTTTATTAGGCTAACAACCTTGTTGTTGTTAGTGTATCTCACAATTGGTGCCACACACTCCCTTATGTCTATATATAAGTATCTATTTTCTCCATAAGGGCTCTTTTTGGATAGACAATCTTGGGCTCCATATATATTTACATGGTATCAGATTTGGTGTCCGTACCCCCGTGGCTGAACGCATCCTTCTCTGACCTCATCGGTCCTCAGTCTCAGAAGGGGAGTGTTTGTGTATCCAGCATTAATACGTTACTGAAAGTAATCGCTGACCCCTAAAAGTCAACTCAAAAGCGGCATAGAGCTTGTTAATCTTATGGATGCATCAAAACAAACGTTTGTGAGCTTCTAGATTTCAGCTTTGAACTAAAAATTCTATTTAAACAAAAAATTTTGTTTGGAAGTACCAACATTTAACTTCTAGTTTAGACAAAATAAAAAATCAAATTTAAAAGCTATTTTATGTATCATTTAAGAAAAGTTATTGAGTTTTTTTAATCAATTTGCAGAATTAATCTTAAAAATATATTATATATTAATCTTTTTTTAAACAATTATCCTTTTATATAATTTTACATATTTCAAAAGCTTTTAAATAATTTACCAAATATTCATATAACAAATAAACAACATAAACTTCTGGTTACCGGCTATCCACTGTCTTCCAATATCTTGTATTACAAGTTTGTATTCGATTATGTAATTGTGGTTATTTTTCTTTCTTTTTCTTGTATATCTTCCCTTCGTAATAAATCTCTTGTGCGTGGTCTGATTGGCTATAAACAGAACTTAATTTCTTGTATTGCCCCTAGCATCTAACTTCTTGTTTGTTTGTGTTAATAAAATGTTTCGCTTGTTCGGAAAAAAAAAAGCAGACAAAATAAGAATGAATAATTTATCGTGATTTGAACTTTTTGTCTTACGTCACTGGCTTGAGCATTCTGTAAAAGTCTTTCGGATTTCATCAAGTGTATGGGACTTTTATTAAAGTAAAACCGTTACAAACTGAACTGTTTACTCTTGTAAATAAAATATATTTAAATCGACAAATGTATTTAGAAAACCTGTTATTAAACTGTAATAAATATATAATTTCGACTGTTGTTATTGAAGGATTATTTAATATAGCATAGACTCATAGATTTTTCTATTTAACTTGTGATCATTCATTTTATCTAAAACCTAAAAAGCCATATTTAACAAAAGGAAATTCTTTTCCTAAAAACTCATCATTCTTAATATTTAAACAACATTTTGAGCAGTCACATTCCCATTCAAATACTACAATACAAACTTAACCAAATTGTGACCATTTTAATAAAGACCTAATTACACCAAACTAACCACAATCTTTAACAAGCTAACTAAACCCAGGCATGTTGTCCCAACAACATGAGCCCATGGTCCAGTCATGCTCATGGTCACGGTCATTGTCATGATCATGATCATGGTCCGTCTCGGTTCCAACCGGAGAGCACGAAATTTCGACTTGATTATCCGTCCTTGCGGTTCCATTTAAAACATCATTTGGTTTCTCGGTCGATGCATCTTCACTTCCACCATACCAATCTTGAAGTGGCCCTGTTGGGAAGTCGATCCAACTTGAGAAATCATCATCCATCGTATTGATCTCATCAAATGCATTGCTTCGGGATTTTACCCCAATCTCTGTAATCAATTTCGAAAGCAAAATATTTAGAAAAATGCATATACATATACATATATTATATCACGGTATATTTAAAAAGTAATACTTATATCGGTTGCGGTTATTAAAGAACTCCATAATGTCAGAACCAGAGAACTCGGTCACGGGCACATCAAATGCATCTTACGGTCGTGATTGACAAACTTGATACAGTTAAGTTCTCTGGTTCTCTTACATTATGGAGTTCTATGATGATCTCAACATATACTTATATGATCGCGATAAATTGATCATATAAACATTATTTAGAATAAAACTCACCAATAGACGAGTGGCCGGAACTCGACTCGTCAAGAATCGTCTTGTTGTCATCTCTTGGTTCAAAAACGGATTCCAAAACCACATTTTCTGGCTCTTCCATTAACGAGTAATCATGTGTGATCTTTTCTTTACCCTTATCGGGCGATTTACTTTCATTAGAAAGCATCTGAGAGCTTAACAAAGCTCTAGATTCACCCAAAACGTCCTCTAACAATCCACTATTTCCCTGAGGGCTTATATATGGGGAAATTGCATTATCTCCATCGTTTGATGAGACAATCAAATGATCATTCACTGTGTTAGAGGAACACGTTGGGGTGATTGCTTGATATGATGATTGGATTGAAGGAAGCTCATTTTCTATGTTTTCAAATAACCTAGTGGGTATCGGACTCATCCCATGATCAGATGAAGGTAACCCTTGATTAAAGAACGACATGGAAGACGCGGAGCTGTTATTGAATTGTGGGTTTGAATGTGATGGTAGTGATAAGGCTACACCACCATTGTTGTCACGAAGAAGCTTGTAATGAGATTGTGAATTAGGGTAATACAAAGGTGTGTTCAAAACGGGATAGTTTATAGGACTGAACAACATCGGAGAGATTGAATTTAGGGCGACGTTCGCATGGTTTGATGATGATGAACATGATGAAAATGGAAGCGTTTGGTTCTGCAACGGCTGTTCAAGGTGGCGACGGTGATGGTGGTGCTGTTGCTGGAAATCAACCGGGTAAATCGGTAAACCTGCGCGTAAACGTCGTTTCAACCTGGTGTTCCAGTAATTCTTGATCTCGTTATCGGTTCTTCCCTGAAGCTATAACACACACACACACACACAAAAACAAATAAATTTAGATTGAATAATTATAATCAGATAATGATATACATCAATCGTATATGTGTGTGGGGAAGATTTACATGAAGAGCCATGCGAGCCCATTTGTTGCCGAATTTGGAATGAAGCTCGATGATTTGTCGTTCTTCTTCAGGTGTAAAAGCTCCTTTCTTTAGATTCGGTCTTAAATGGTTCGCCCATCGGAGCCTGCAACTTTTGCCGCATCTCATCAACCCGGAATTCCGTTGAACAGCATTCCAATTCCCTTCACCGTTTTTCTTCACATATTCCATTAAAATTGCATCTTCCGCCGCCGTCCATGGTCCTTTTTTCAAGACCTGTCCGCTGTTCGCCCGTGCACAACCACCACCGCCGGCCGTGTTTCTTCCTGCAGAGGTGGCGCCATCTTCTGGAGCCATCTTGATAATTCCTCCCAGGTTTTTAATGGATACCCATATGAAAATAAAGGGAAATAGTTTGTTGGAAGATGGATTTTTTTAGGAAGCTTTTGAAATGGATTTTAATGGAGGATTGGGGATTGTTGAGTTTAGAATGGAGGCTGAAAGTGAAAGGAGTGGTTTTGTGTTCAAGTCTTTATATGCTTGAGATTGTATTTCGGAAGCACCCCCTGTTTTTGTGATTTATATTGCTGGCTATTTTCCTTATTTTTCGTCACCCTTTACATTATTTTTTCCTATTTTTAAAATTTAGAATTTAATAAAGTTTTTAAAAAATACTTTATACAATTTTTAACCAATTTACTCGTGCTTCCATTCAAATATATTCATTGTTTAATATGACTAATTTAATTTTGATTTTAATTCACAAGTTTTCTTTGTTTTGCTTGATAAAGATACCTTGTATTGTGGCATTTATCATCGTAAAATATCCAAATATAATTATAATTTATAAAAAAATGAAAATTTTATGGATTACAAAGCCTTCTATCATGATATTTCTTAATTCTAAATTTAAGAGTTGATTATTATACTCACTATGCCTTTGACATGGTGGTGACCGGTGACATAACAATGGGGTGGTATATATATATATATATAATATATATATATATATATATATATATATATATATATATATATATATATATATATATATATATATATATATATATATATATATGAAAAAAGTTCAATAAAAAAACGATTATTAATCAATAAATCAAGAAACCAATTCAAAACGATCAACACAAAAAGAATAGTTGTAAACTTTACGATCAACGCACATATATCGGATTATAACAAAACGTAATTCTTTTTTTCGTTTATTTTTTAGGCATGTTTTTTATCGAAAAAAAAAACTCGAATATACCATTGTTCATTATTTCCCGTCCTATTTCTATAGAGATTCATATTGATATACAACAAATATATATTTTTTTTTTCAAAAAAACTCAATTCATTTCTTTGTTTTTTGAGAAGTTAAGTTTTATTTTTTATCAAAAAGATTTTGACCAGATACGAAATCACTGGTGCTCGATCTAGTGGTATTTTATTTAATAATTATTGTAAAATTCATATTTTTTTGGTACTCTTTAAGCATAGATCCATATTGATTTTTTAAAAAAATATTCAGTTCAGATTCAGGTTGCGAATCTACTCAGATTCACATTGTGAATCTGCTTACATTTACAGTGTGAATAATAGTAAGTCAGATGTACATTATGAATTCTGAAAACTAAATTATATACAATTCAGATTCACAATGTGTATAAATCTATTTGTTGATTTTACAAAACTAATTTATTCATAATCAAAATGTTAAAATATTATAAAATTACATGGATATATATATATATATAAATATATATATATATATATATATATATATATATATATAATATATATATATATATATATCGATTCATATACAAATTTCGTTAAATTAATTTGTGTATGATCAAAGAGTTGAAATACTAAGTTAGATTCACATTGTGAATGTTAAAATTGAAATATTTAAAGTTCATATTCAGAGTGTGAATCTGAACTGATCGAGGTTTTTTTTAAAAAAAATTTTAATCGATGTTAATATTTATTTATAGAGGACAAAAAATTTAAAATATTGGTATAGTTAGTTTTTTTGATAAAAATAAACTTAAATATTGAAAAAAAAAACAACAAAACGAAGTGAGTTTTTTTCGAAAAAAAAAAGTTTTTTTTTATATATCAACATTGAAAACTAGCCTAAAAAAATTAAACGAAAAAAGAGGTGAGTTTTTTTGGTAAAGAGGTGAGTTTTTTTATATAATCTGGTGTATATGCATCCAATGTACAAGTCTACATCCATTCATTGGCCATTGATCATTATGATTTCTGATGCCCACGATTCGTTTCTTGGTTCCTTTTTAATAATAGTTCTCAATTGAACTTCACGTTATATATATATATATATATATATATATATATATATATATATATATATATATATATATATATATAATATATAATATATATATTATATTATATATATCCTCCCTAATAAATAAATAACTTTTTGCCACTTGTCAATTTCTTATGCATTTGGACACATGTAATTTTGTGGTTAATTTTTAGAAATTTATTTCCATTTGTCATTTTGTGGTAATTTTTTAATTTTCTTAATTAAATATCTAATTTTAACGTTATAGAAAGTAATTAATGTGTCATTAATTTGTTTTTATTATATTTTCAAATTTTAATATATTTCATTCAATACATATAATTCAAAATTGACGTGTTTATTTTAAAGTTCATTGTCATTTTAGGAAACATGGTCTATATAAAAAAAAATCGAACTTTGTTGCTTTTTATTGACAAACTAAAAAAAATATTATATGGTCAAAATATAATTATTTTTCTGTAGTTTGTTTTATTAATATAAATTGAATTATTTATTTATTCATCATTTTGTTTGTATATATAT